CTTCCCGGACCGGGGCACGAACCTGTGTCCCCTGCATCGGCAGGCGGACTCTCAACCACTGCGCCACCAGGGAAGCCCGGTCACTTGCTTTTTAACGTATTTTATTTCCATTTTTACCTGGTCATCTGCTTCCAAAATGATCAAGATAGCCAGTTTAACGAAAAGAATGCCTTTGGAATAGGTCACTGCAGATAACCAGTGACTGGTTCATTAGTTCATTGACTAGTTCATTGGCAAAAGCTTTTTGATTTCTTGAGGGGGAGTAAACCTAAGCCATAATAGTACTAATTAAGTAACTGCCTCCCTTTATGCTCATCCAAGGGTGCCCCAAATGGAATTATTCAAATTAATCACCAAAACATATTTAAATGTCTACTTCTTAAAGGTTTTTCAATCCTGGATATCTCTAAATTTAAAAAATAAATTTCATGCTAACTAAAAGTGCATTAAACTGTACATCTAAAAGTGTGAATTTTACTGTGTATAGATTATACCCCAAACAAATTGAGCGAAAGTACAATGGAAAAGGAGGGACTGGTTTTGAATCATAATAGGTACTGATTTTTGAATTATTAGTATGTGACACTGTTTCAAAGTTGTATATGCATTTTTAAACATTCTCCCAGTGGGGACTTCCCTGGTGGTCCAGTGGCTAAGACTCCCTGCTCCCAATGCAGGGGGCCCGGGTTCGATCCCTGGTCAGGGAACTAGGGAACTCCACATGCTGCAACTAAAATGATCCCTCGTGCCGCAACTAAGACCTGGTGCAGACAAAAAAAAAAAAATTTTTTTTAAAAAATTCATTATTAAAAAAAAATTCTCTCAATGAATTGGGATCGATATATACACACTACTATATATAAAATAGATAACTAATAAGGACCTCATGTATAGTACAGGGAACTCTTCTCAATACTGTTATGACCCACATGGGAAAAGAATTTTAAAAAGAGTGGATATATGAATATAATTGATTCACTTTGCTGTACAGCAGAAACTAACACAACATTGTAAATCAACTATACTGCAATAAAAATTTTAAAAAACACTCTCCCAGTGAGTTAGGTGTTATTGTTATCCCCATTTTACTGATGAGGAAAGAGTTGGAGTCCCTCACCTAAGATCACACAGTTAAAATCTGGAGGCTGGACTCAATCCAAATCTGTTTGACTGGCAGAGGCTGTACTTCCATTGTTAAAGTTAGCATTTTGAGTCAACTGAATCTAGTTGGCAGGCACGATACTGGGTGCTGTTTACTCTAATGTGTTTTTTCCCCTTCTTAGGGACCAGCATGAGAGACCTTCTGCTGTCCAGCTCCTGAAGCACTCCTTCTGGAAGAGAAGTCATTGAACATACATCAGGACTTCCTTCCCAGCTCCACTATAGATTACTCCGTTACTGCTTCATTGCGGAAATGATGGCTAAGGGACCCTTGTTTTCCTACTGGAAAGTCAATCTAACCCAATTTAACCAGATCCTGCAGTGGCACTAACTGAAAAGTTTGTTACAGGTTAGCCTTCTCAAGCTTCAGGCACAATTACCCATATACATAAGAAAATTGTCTTAAAGAGTTAACAACAGAAAACCTATTCCAGTGTTTATAGTTTTGATTATCCAGTAACTACAATCTCTCTTGCTTTATACGATATTTCCTTTTATTTTTGGCCTGTCAATTTTAATGTCATTAAATTGTAGAAACAAGAATAAAATGTATTTTCTTGCTTGATGGGTAGACACTTTAATTCTTACAAAGGAGAGTAGAGGAAGGTGAGAAGGTAAAAGGAGTAGAAAGACCCTAGATTCAGTTTACTTAGGCAGCAACCTTAACGCTGCAGACTATAGGGGCCTCAAAATTAACAGGAAGAGCTAAGGGCCTTGGCGTTTCATTACCAGAGGGTCCCCTAACTCCTCAGAAGTCTCCACCTACAAGAAATTGGGCTCTTCAAGGTGTTTCCATAAACCTCAGTCTGCCTTCTCTGTGACTGGTTGTTTTTTGAGGTCTTCATGTATTTACAGCGTGAATTAGAACATTACTGCATCGAGAACCAGCTAAACCTAAGGAAGCTGGTGGGATAAAAGCTCACTGATCTGTTAAGCGGAGACTGGGTGAGCACATAAACTTTTCCAGGGCACTTTTGCTCACTTCACCTGAAGGAAGGACACCCCTGCTAAGGTCACTCTTCACTTTCATTCCCAGAACATTGGAAAACCTTGCAAAAATGAACAGGGACAAGTTGTCAGTTATTACAAGATCTTAAGTTGGTGGACTGAGCATTTTTGGTAAGGTTTCGGTTGCTGTGACTCCACTCATCTAAATTTCACTGACACCTGTTGTCTTAAGCTAGGTCTACAGATTTTGTTTTACTAGCTACTGTCATTTGAACATGGCACAACTACAAACTAACTTTAGGTGAATTCCAACACCAGTTGTCTGTCAGACTTTGTCAAAATCAAGCTGCTACTTCAGAAGTTTTTGAAATAAATGTGAAATGCAGTCCAGCTGAGATAAAAGCTTTTACTTTGGCCAACATGTTTAGAAGGGTCTTTGCGGGTGTACCTTCCTTCTCTCTCTCCAGTTTGCAGAGTTCTTCCCTTATATTTGATAAAAATTTAAGGGATATGTCTCTTATTTTACTTACTTGTATATCAACATAACACCATTTTAAGTAGGGTTTAGTTTTTTAATCTTAGTAGGGATTTCAGCATTCTTTAAAATCTGAATGATTGTATCTGATTTCGGAGCAATTACCTATTTACATTCAACCCTATTAAACCCTATGAGGCAAGGGCAGGGACTAAGACATATTTATACTGTGTATACAGATCACAGTAATGGACACAGGAAGTTGCTGTTAACAAACCTACCCCTCTTCTACTGATATAGAAAAATACTGAACACTAATTTCACAGAACCTTCAAAACCTGTATGTTTTTAATAGGCAAGGCTTGATATTAACAGCTTTCTGTTGTTCTGTCATTCACTGTGTCTATCATTGCCCAGGTATCTTCCTTTAGGGGGCAGAGGTCCTAAAAGGAGACTGAGCGGGAAGAAAGGTGGGGGCTGGGAGGGCTAGCATTCCTTGAGCTCTTAATGGAGAAAGGCCTATTATTTAATTCTGGCTGTTGCTTGGGTCGGTAGTAGTCTCATTCTATTAATGCACAATGAGGCTCAGAGGTACTTAACTTTCTCAAGGTCAAGTTGGGACTGCCACCCAGATTTGTCTGACTTTAGAGCCTTCTCCCTGCTGCTTCCCAGATTTGTAGTTTATAAATGAAATCAGTTACAGTTTTAAGTTTTATGCAAACAAAACTCCACAGATGCTGATAAACAAATTCACCAGTCCAGTGACTTTGATGACTTTAACGTTGTCAAAAGCTTTTCCTTTTTCACTTAGCAGCAACATTGCCTTCCCTTCTATGACTATCTTCCCTTCTCACCATGAACACCACCCCAGTTTTCAATCACATTCAGAAGCGCATTTCATTTCATACTGAATGGGTCTCAAGCTCAACCAAAGTAAATTTAACTCCCCAAGTAAAATCCTGACAGTAGTTCCAGCTCTAGAGCGTCTCCTTAACTTTAACCTACTTTAGCCCACTGGACGTTCCTCAGTGTCTGAATGAGTTGCCGTTGTGGAAAAGAGCGAGCTCTGGATTACAGGGTTGGGGAGTGCACAGGATTCCACTTACTTGCTTTACCCTCTCTCTCCTGCTTGACAACAGCAGTCCTGGGCCTTTAGTGTACTGAGTAGCTCCAAGAGCTGAAATAGCAAACAGTCCTGAGGAAAAGCTGTGGCACTTTGTCTCACTGTTATGACTTCTCAAACTTGTGAAAAATCATGGCTGAATTTGTCTCTAAAGCACTTGCTCCTATGGATTATGACTTGAAAGACCAAAAAAAACTGATCTTGGGTATATGCCTGGACATTTGTAAGGTCTCAATAGCCCGTTAATTTCATGGCAATATGATTAAAAACCCTCATTTAGTGAAGCCCTATATTGCTTTGGGAGGTGGTGTTGGGGGGAGGGAACAGGCAGGTCATACACTAGAGCTAAAACAAAAACGTATAATTTTTTCCATTATATTAAAAACAGCAGGGGGTGAAAGAGTGATGAAACAATGGAGTACGGTGAATTAGTAAATGGGATTACTAACTTTGGTTAAAGGGAATTACTAAACTTTGTGATGTTCCTAAATAAAGCTCATGTAATTTATTATATGAAAAAAAAAGACGCCCTTACTGCTGTTATCAACATAAAATGAAGACAAATCTTTTAATGTGATTTCAGAACTTTTATATTTAGGCTTAAAATTCATGCTAGAGAAAGTAACTTGTCTATCTTAGCTCTATTTTATGAAAAGCCATTGCAAGGCTTCCATTTTCTTTCTCAAGTGTGAGGTGTAGGAAAATCGGGGAGGGAGGGAAGGGGGTTGGAAGGAGCAGCAATATTAAAGCAGTTGATGATTAAATTTCTCAGGGATAATTCCCCTTGCAGATAATTACAATTACTCTCTGCTTTTTGTGAAGGTGACGCAAGAGGGTACACAAGAAAATCCCAAAGTATGAATCAGAATGAACAACTTAAATTCTGGAAACGGTACACATGCAGTGTTTAATACACACTCAAGTCTACTGCACCTGGATTGGGCCTTCACCACTCTCCCCAATACCCAAAACATGCTTCTATTAGGATTCTTTTCAATGCCATCTATTCCATTTATTCCCTGATCACCCAAGCCTTAAACCTCACAACCCAATGAATAGGTACTATTACTGACATTTTGTAGATTAGGAAATCAAGGCACAAAGTAATTTACCCAAGGACATCAGCTACTAAGTGATGGGGTTGAGAATGGAGTATGGACAATCTGATCTCAGTGGTCATACTCCTTGATGATATATGAAGTCACTCAAAGAGTATTGAGACCTTATTTCCCACATCTCCCAGGGACTGAAAATTATTTGATTCACATTAACAAGACATGTTAGAGCCTTGGATTTATGTAGTCAATAAACAAACTTTATTAATGATTCCTTGTAATAGATACTGAGCTGAAATTCAATGTCTGATTGAATTCATACCATATACACAAACTCCTGTTTTAGATTTTCTATCAGCAAACATCCTGTTCAATAGTCCTTGGGGGTTTTGAGTACATTCACAAAATGAAATCCCAATCTGCTGACAACAAGTGAGCACGTGTGAAGTTTTTCAAAGTAAGGAAGCTGCTTGAAAAACACAACTTAAAAAAAAAGAATGTACTCATTACTTAACAATAGGCAAATAAAGTTAAACCAACCACTAAACAGGTTTTAAGTGAGGCTTCTTCCCAGAACTTGGAGATAAAGGAAATTAGCCCTCAGAATTTACTTTTGAGATTAATGGATCACAGCAAACAGGTTAAGTCACTTTTACGACACCAGAATTACTCCTAGCCACACAGCCTTCAATGTATCTTGCTTATCTAGCTACCTTAAGAAATTTCAGGCAGAATACATACTAATAAGTTAACAGAAACAGGAGTCATAGAAGCAAAAGCTGGCTGTCCCCAAATTAACATTGTGGAATAAAAAATGGATGCATAGTATCAGACCTAAAACCCTCAGAGCATTCCAGATCCACTGGCAAGATCATCTCTACTGTAATGACAGATGTTTCAGAGGCAAACATCTCTTACAAAACAAGCAAACTTCTGATTATTTGGCTTACATCTGTCCGCTTACAGCAATCAAATTTCGGATATTAATATAGCTGTGAATTCTCAAGTTAACACATTAGTACCATAACCTGGGACCCTAGAACGGTAGGAACAGAATGTGCTACTTTTCCAATGCAAAAACCCCTAAATCAGCCTATCATAAACAAACTGGTACATGAGATTAGCATGTGTCACCAAGCTTTCCTCATGTGTGGGGTTTATTAATCCTTCATCTGGGTAAATGTGGTTAATGAATCCTACTGCATCCCAAGAAAGCAGACTGCTGAATCAAGAATTCTCCATAACCAAAGCTCTTATTTTTCTTAGCAAAGACATCTTAAAAATCACCTAGCTATTTAAGCACAGTAGTAAGTGAGAAACAATGGCTTTTCTGTGTAGATAAAATTCAGGAACGGTGAAATATCTTGACAGTAGAACTGTCTCCCTTTAGAGATATTACCATGTTTTTAAAAATCCTTATTTCCATAGTAAACGCAAAACCTAAAATATCTAATCAACCAAGGGTACTTTGAGAGTACATAATAGTCATGCATATGCAAGCAGTGGTTTATTTCTAAGATTAGTTAAGGAATAAAAATCAGTAACTTAAATTCTCAAATACAACCAGAAAATGTGCTTAAAATGTTTTAAGGCAAGACATTTGGTAACTAACAAACATATTTCAAATTTGGTTATCTGAAATAGTCATTTCCTTTCAACTATCTGAAACTAGTCATTTCTTTAGTTCAAAGAGGATAGGCCAGAAAAGTAATGTATCCTACATAATCATAATCTGTTCGCACAAAGTAGTGTATGCACCCCTTATGACATTCTGCATGAAACCACGTATCATGGTAGAAATTTTCTTTTGACGCTTAAGAACTCTAACAAGAACAAATCTGCATACACAGAGAAGATCAAGATGCACTTGTAACTGTTTTCAAAGATAAACCTTGGGGTGACTACACAACTTTTCAGTATTTAAATACCTGCAACAAGAAATGAACCTCAGGGTTAAACAAGAAATAGGAACTAGGAATTATGCAAGGTCTCACCACTCAAGGATACTACCATCAGTTTATTTGGTAAAGTAAGCCTCTGAGAATGTTTCTGTGAAAAAAACCACTCCTTTGCTTTGGTTCTGAAAATATTGTATTTTAAAATAGCTAAGGCAAATATTTAGGGGGCACAGCTCAATATTGAAAAATTAGTTGAAAGAGGTAGAAGTAAAGCCTTTCTATGTAATGTGCTTCTGCGTAAAGGTAACAAATCTATGATCTTTGATCTAGGGAAAACACAACTAAAAAATGAATCACTCTTTTATAGGATGTTTAAAGATAATGCTTTTTAATAGTTCAAATATTTTTAAAAATCTCATCAAAAATGTATCACCTTAACAGTACTTTGCACATGTGGAATTTCATACCTAAATTTGATACTATTTTGGTTTATTTATGGCTACTTACAAGAAGACTCAGTAATAATGTCCATTCATTGGAGTCTTTTTCTTTGGTTGAGCCTATTGGGACCAGGCTGATGAACTACTTTATGCAAATGAGATGGTTAAATTCATGGCAATATGAATTATAAGGGTTCTCATTTAATGGAAACGAAACTTAAAAGAAATTCCATATTTTATCCCCATTGTGGTTTACGGAAGCTAATATCCTGTTCAGAGGTTTAAGAGTTTGAATAGCTCACACAATCCTGTAAAAATTACAACTGGCTGCCCTTTAATAAATAAAGTCATTGTAAAGAATTACATTTACAGAGTGAAAAATGAATACATAGCATTTCAAATTCGATTTTGGAAGTACTAATAAGTACTGACCCATAACAATATACACTAGCTACCTTTTTAACTGTCCATCATTAGCACCAATAAAGATTCAACAAAATTACCTTTATTCTCACATCTCAAAACAATTCTGCAAATTCTTAGTGAAGTATAGTCACAGACCTTAAATATTCACATTGTTTTCTATGTCATACTGAAAATAAGTTCACTACTTTTCTGGATATTCTTTACAAAATCTTATTAAAATTCCTGGTATTATCACCCCAATTATACAGTAGCACAATCACCCTACGTCGTTTCACATGATAGCTCCTTAGAGGTTTCACATCTAAATTACCAAGAACAAAACCCTTCCCTCCCTCATCTTGCACTCATCTTAATTCTATACTAGTCCTTGGATTATGTACCACTGTAAAAGTATAACTGTATCAAAATTACCATGTTTATGGATACAATAATATGTCATACAGAGTAACAAAGTTACATGTAATGACAAAGATTACTAAAGTTATGCCAGACAAGAACAAAGTTAGGACATGCTAGCTAGGCAAAGTCCCTAGAAAGAGGACCCTCGTATCCTAAGTTCAAATAACATTGACAAAATAATGAACAATTATCTTAAAAAAAAAAATTATAAAGCTACTGGCAAATCAGGTAATTGCTAAATAAGAGTAGAGCACGAGATTAAACTCTCTAATATTTACAACTGCAACATACTTGAGTAAAATTACAATTGTGCACATATCAGTGGCTTTGTAACAAAAATAATTCATATACATAGAGGAAAAATTAAGACAGTTTTCAATTCAACAGAAGTTGAATTCAACCTATCTCAAAGATACTCAACAGCCCAAAGATTTACCACAGAATTGAAGATTAGCTGATAAACCAGAGCCATGTTACCGGCATTTAAGACAAATTTTAAACAAGTTAAAGTCTATTGTTTGTTCCAAAGTCAGAAGACTGTGCAAACTTGACTTCAACAGGAATATACTGAGATGTGCAAACAAATGTAAAACCTCCACTAGCTGTTTACCTGGAGGCTTACCTTTTTTTTTTCTCAGTGAGCTTCCTGTTAACAACCATAAGCTATAAATACAGGTACAATGCACAGTCAGTGATCTTTTTGTTTTATTTATTGTTAGAATATAAAAGAACTGAAAGAGCAATAAGTTTAATTTCATTTTTATAAGGAAGACTGCATTTACCTGAAAAAGAAATATGGCATCACACACAAACACGCTTCAGGGGGGGAGTATGTTTAAGAACATGGTGTCCTTCTGAACGCTAAAGGAAAAGCGATTCCTGTTTACTGTTAAAATACGTAGTGTTAAAGTTCTCTATTTAAGAAAAAGACTTACTAATTCTTCACTAATGTAAGTTTCTGTGAATTTAGTTTTCAAATCACAGTAATCTACATAACCATTATTAACAGCTCTGTGTTTATAGTACTGCAACAAGCCAACAAACACTTAAATGCACTTCACATCAAGAGTATGTAAACTTTATTTTTTCCTCTTCAAGCCTTCAGAAAATTAGGGGCTATTTCAGCAGCCAATCTGGTCAGAACCTCTGAAGGCAGAATCAGTGCCTCACAGTGTAAATGACCATCTGTGGCACTGCATACCCATCTGGTAGTGAAGTGTCCCCCTTCAGTGGCTTCCAGTAAGGCCTAGAGTTTAAGGTTAACATGAAAAAGTGCCACCTTTGTTTTAGATTAGTGATGGACTCTGACAAGATAAAATAAAGTTATTCTGTATATTGTTATACTTACAAGCAGCTCCAATCCTGAGTATTTATGGTAATATCTAAACATACAAAAATGTATGTACATTTTTCTCCACTTTCTTGTAAACAGTTGTCAGTATACTGTTTTATCCCTTTATCATTGAAACATGCAAATCATACATACGAGTATAAATACACAAAAGAAAACAATTTACACTCATTCAAAAGCCAAGCAACAACAAAAAATAGCTACAGTATTCAAATTATAAATAAACGAATGCTTGAGGCATCTTATATTCCTAGAAGCAGCCAGCCATTCACCCTAATGTTCTTAGCTGCAATTGTAGAAATACTGAGTTTTGCACCTTCCATGCTTTTACAGTATTTATAACACTATCATATGTGGAGATAAAGACTTGTTTACTATAATCTCTTCTTTTCAGAATGAAGAATAAAGCAGCACTTACAAATATTGAAGCAGTGGCAGTAACAGCAGGTGTTACCACTGCTAGATCAGGAGGAAGTTTTCCATTCTAACAATTTTTAAATTAAAAAAGTAAAGGAAAAATTGACCTAAACAAATGATTACATGTTCATTCCTTGGGCACTTAACAGCGAGTCCAGCATGTCGAATGTGTCTTTGTAGTCCATATGCTGGCTGTTTGTACTGTACTCGTGATTGACATCAGGACCGTTGGTCTCCACTGGCTTCTTGTCCAGTTTCACGAGGGTGCTGAGATGTCCGTAGCCCACCTGGTATGTGACAGGGGGAGGAGGGGGTAAGGGATGGTTAAAAACAGAGTTGTGAGAGGATACATACTGCTTAACAGAGGAGGAAGAACTAGATGAACTACCTGAACTTTTGGAACTTTTGCTCATTTTGGAGTGATGGTTGTGAGATGCATCATTGATATGCAGCTTCTTCCTTGAAGAGCTGGAACTAGAGGAAATGCCATCACTGCTCAGGCCAACAGGACTCCTCAGAACAGCGGGTGGTATCCCATCAGCACTGTGCTTGCTGCCACCACTGCTGCTGCCACTGTATGAGTGGGAATACTTGTGACTGCTGGGGTGGTGGCGGTTGGAAGGATGCTCCTTGTGCTTCTCCTTATGGTCCCTGCTAATATGCGGGCTGGAATGCTTGCTTTTCCCACTGCCTTCATCAGAAGAGCTGTGTCTTTCTGAGGAAGAAACTTTTATCTTCATTTTCAGTTCTTCTTTACTGACACTTTTATCAGTGGGTGGTATTGGAATCCGTAATTTCAGTGATCCACTCTTTTCCTTCTTATCTGCCATATATTTTTCAGGTTTTTCAGCATTTGTAATGGGAATTTTCATTTTAATGGGAGAGGTTACAGAACTGCTGCTGGCTGCCTGGGACTGTACATGTTTGTGTTGCTGTTCTACCTGGGCAGCTATATAATGATCCCTTGCGTCCAGATCAAGGGTTTCTAGCTTACGTTTTTCTCTGTATTTATCTAAAGACATTTTCTGAGGAATTACTCCAGGAGTAGCAGAACTTGGCCCATGGTGTTTACTGCTTCCTGCTTTATGAGTATAATCTTGCTTAATATTAGAATGGTCAGAAATTTTGTCAGGTCTGTGATGTAGTCCTGAATGCAGTGATACAGAAGGTCCCTGCTGGAAGTTGATGCTGTACTGGCTACCAGACAAAGATGTCTCCTGTTTCTGTGAATATATCTGTTCTGTCCTTGCCGACTCTTGATGTTGAGGCCATTCTTGGTGTGATGACAAACCATATGAGGTACTTGGCATTCCTGTTGCTAGCACTGACAAATTATCAGATGCATGGCTGTCTTGAACAGAAATATTTCCTGAATTTAGAGGTACTGGTGCAGGGAATGTCGATGTAGATGGTTTCTGAAAACTTGGGTTGGTAGGCACACCAGTAACACTATCTACTAAAATGGAATTCTGGACCAAAGATGAACCAAGAAGTGGTGTTTCTGATACTTGTCCATCTACTTTTGGTTTCTTAGCCGCCTGATTAGCCTATTTAAATAAAACACAGAAGAAGCAATGACAGCAAAGGAATTTAATACAAATTTCTTTGCTTATAAAAATTCTATATTAAATACATGGAAATAAAATCACCTGGGGTTTCACTTTATGTTACCAGTAAATAAATATCTTATTTAGAGGCATAAAAAGGATATAAATAGTTGAAAGCACTGGTTTTAAATTAGATGCAGACTAAATCCTAGCCCAGCATTTGAGAAAGGAATTTAACTCGTCTAAGCTTTAATTTTCCTGTTTGTAAAGTGAGGAGACTATTTCCACGGTAATCACTATGAGAATTAAATAAGGAATTTATAAGGTATTTATAGCAAAGTCTACTGGACACCGTAGCTGAATAAATTATGAGTGTATGTAGCTTACGAAACACTGTAATTACTTACGAATACTGGAAATAAGAATATTTAACAACAAAAATTCAAACTGATTAGCTATGTAGTTAACAAATTGATGTTCTAAAAACCCGCCAATTCTCTTACCCTCCAGTTTCGAATCCTCTTCAACCTACTAGGCGTTTTCTCCAATATTTGTAGAAACTCATGTGTTAGCTCTAAAGATAAAATTCAAATTTAAAACTTAGAAGGTGCCTTTAGATTTAGAATTCTCTCAAGTGGGCAATATTAGAAAGAAAGCGCAAGAGTTCATCTACTTCACCATCACCCTCCTAATTCAACCATCAGCACATACAGAAGTAGACACAGCTCTGAACTGGTATTTTCAAAGATGAATCTTAAAAAAATTTGTTTTAAATAAATAAAACAAAACACTCCTCCCACACCCCCCTGATTTTACATGCTTACTTAGAATCTCTGGAAAATTTAGTCACATTTAAAAAATTCCTTCCAAATAGAAAATCTCTATTACGCAAACATCATAGTAATAATTGGGATGGGCAAGATCCATCAGTAGATTCTTTAAAATCAGTGGGCAAAAGTTTAAGGAAAAAGAGAATATTTGTGTAATCCCAACATACCGTCCTCAAGATATTGATTATAAACAGAAAATCAGTAACTTTATGACCTTAACCAAGTGATCATGATTATCATTACCAGCAATGACATATCAACATAATACCCCATGATAAAATGCACAGTAGGATAAAACCCACTTCTGTGGTATTCTTGCCAAAAACGCATAACTTCACTCTAATAATGGGAAAACATCAGACAAAACTCCAATTGAGGAACATTTTATAAAGTAACTGACCATTCTTCTTCAAAGTGTCAAGGACATGAAAGAAAAGAAAAGACTGAAAAATTATCACAGATTAGAAGAGATTAAAGGGGCATGCCAACTAAATGGAACATGGGATTCTAGAATAGAAAATGGGGGAAATTTGAGTAAAATCTGTAGTTAATAGTATTATACCAATGTTAACTTCTTCGTTTTGATAATCATATTATTATTATAGAAGATGTTAACATTAGAGAAACTGGGTACAAGGTATAATAGTATAGAATCTGTACTACTTCACAATTTCTTTAGATTTAAAATCATTTCAAAGTTAAATGAAAAAAATTCCTTTACCTATACTCATAACTTCCTAGCAATCAACACTAGTAACATTATCAGTAAATCACCCTGGTTATATTTTTACAATTTTTTTCCTAAAATTTAGGATTACAATGAGATGACCCACTTTTCCAAAGTGGTGTGGTTATGATGAATTAGTTTTTGACTCCAAAATAGTGTCATTAATAAAGTTATTGGCCACTCTCAAGATAAATAATATTAGTCAAATGAATTACAATGTCACGTAATATTATTAATGCCAATTTAATAGAGACTAGATTCATGCAAAAACTCGGCACCATTATATGCTCACAAGCTGTGACAACTAATTCCTGCTAAAGACTCAGGAGCTTTTCGATTCAGTCTGGATGAAAACAATCTAATGTCTGTACTACCATTTCTTCATCTGAAAAAAAAATGACCACTTTTCTACTTGGACAGAGCAGTAAGTCTAGTAGACACATGCCTTTGGGTCCAAAATTAACAATAAACTGTTTTGACTCAATTTCAGAAAAAATTCAAGTTATAAAAAACACATGAAGGTTTGTTATTAATCATTAAAAACAACCAAGCCCCGCCCCCCCCCCACAAACCCTGTTACAGGTAGGCCAAATACAAGCCAATGTTGTTTTGGGGACAGTCATTAAATGAATTATTTTAGTAAACACTGATGCTTCAGACACCGTGATAAAATTCAGATACTCTTAGTATCTTATACTTTGTTACTTTATTTTTACGGGATCACAATGTGATCCCATAAAAATGTGAGAAAAGGCTGCCACATAATACATTGAAATTTTCAATGTGTTAAGTGTCCAAGATTCCTATTCAGTGGTTCTCCAAATGAATAACGTACTGGAGCCTTTTCAGAATAGAAGCAAAGGGATATTTAGGTGCCTCCTGTTGTGTCAAAAAAAGACTTTACCTATTGATACAATTTAAGAGCAGGATAAAAGGCAGATTACTCGCTTTCTGTGAGCTTTATTTTAGCACCATATATACAAACTATTTTTATTAAGTTTATGCCTATTTTATCTTTATCTATTGACTGCTAAAATAAGACAGTGGCGTAGGTAACCTAATTTCAAGTCACAGATGGAAAAAAAAAAGCCCCTACTAGTTTTTTATTTTTTATTTTTTTGTGGTACGTGGGCCTCTCACCGCTGTGGCCTCTCCCGCCACGGAGTGACGTGCAGGCCCAGCGGCCATGGGCCCACGGGCCCAGCCACTCTGCGGCATGCGGGATCCTCCCGGATTGGGGCACGAACCCGCGCCCCCCGCATCGGCAGGCGGACTGCCAACCACTGCACCACCCTAGTTTTTTATTTTTTATTATTATTAAAAGAATTTTTTTACTGGAGTATAGTTGCTTTACAATGTTTTTTTTTTTTTGCCCACATCTCGCAGCACGCAGAACTTCCCCGACCAGGGATCGAACCCGCATCCCCTGCAATGGAAGCGTGGAGCCCTAACCACTGGACCTCCAGGGAAGCAACCCCCCGCCACTAGTTTTTAGAAGATGTTATTTCAACTCACTGAAGATTTCCTACCACTCTGAATAACCTTTAGAAAAACCTCTGGCAATGTAAGGAAAAGAGGATAATCATGCGGCAGTAATACAGCATGAGGTATATAATCCAGGAGAAATTTTTCAGGGAGGAAAAAAAAATACCAAAACAAAATCAAGAGACCTAACAAAGAGCATATTTTACCACAAGGGTAGACAAACTATCACCAGTGGGCCAAATATGACCTGCATCCTGTTTCTGTAAATAAAGTTTTACTGGAACACAGCCACTCATTTTACAGGTTGCCTATGGCTGCTTTCCAGTTACGGTGGCAGAGTTGTCTAGGTGCATAGATAGTATAGCCCACAAACCCTAAAATAGTTACTATCTGGCCCTTCACAGAAAAGGGAGCAGACCCTTAATGAAATTTCTGTCTTAAAGCATCTAAGATATTAATGGAAAACCACATTCCAAAGCCATAGGGGTCTCTCACTTTATATAACGCAAGTCATGTAAATCCAGTTTTCAAATTAGCTTCAATTTTGTAAAGGAAATTGGGGAAAGCCCACGAAAAGAAGCAGAAAACCTAACATACCAGTTTAGATTTATGCATATATTAGGTAAGAAATGTTATCTATTTCCTTTCTGAAATCTAGAGTGCCTGGTTAAAATGTCTTAATCCCCAGGAATCCCCTGCCTCTGGCCTGCTTATTTCTCTACCAGAAAAACGTCCTATCAGGAGACCTCCAAATTCCAGGTCCATGATGTACAGAACTTATACTCCCAATCTTTCCTTGTGAATTCATACTTATTAATGCAAGACAACAATGACACACTTTACCATCAGTGGAACAGAGCAAGGAATATTACCATGAAAATACCTTTAGCTCACTGCTTCACATCTTCTACAGTAAGCTAATACCTGACTTTGTGCTTATACATTTTAAACTCAACAAAATTAGTTTACTTTATTTTTTATGTATTTTAAAAAATTTATTTATTTTATTTATTTTTTGGCTGCATCGGGTCTCTGTTGCTGTGCACGGGCGGCTTTCTCTAGTTGCAGCGAGTGGGGGCTACTCTTTGTTGCGGTGTGCGGGCTTCTCATTGCGGTGGCTTCTCTCGTTGCGGGGCAGGGGCTCTAGGCGCGTGGACTTCAGTAGTTGCAGCACACAGGCTCAGTAGTTGTGGCACACAGGCTCAGTAGTTGTGGCACATGGGCTGAGTTGCTCAGCTGCATGTGGGATATTCCCGGACCAGGGATTGAACCCGTGTCCCCTGCACTGGCAGGTGGATTCTCAACCACTGTGCCACCAGGGAAGCCCCAAATTAGTGTACTTTAAATTAGGTATTCCTGTATTATCAACCTGTAGCATTATAAATCATATTTCTTTGAAAAGTCCTGAAAAGGCTTTAGATATTGAGTGCTGGTTAATATATGCTCATTTTTTCCCCCCTTTAGGCTAATGAATCCTTATTTTCATCCTGTTCATTTGATCATGTTACTATACTTTTTTTAAAAAAATAAATTTATTTATTTATGGCTGTGTTGGGTCTTCGTTGCTGCACGTGGGCTTTCTCTAGTTACGGCAAGCAGGGGCTACTCTTCGTTGCGGAGAGCGGGCTTCTCATTGCAGTGGCTTCTCTTGCTGCGGAGCATGGGCTCTAGGCATGCGGGCTTCAGTAGTTGTGGCTCATGGGCTCTAGTACACAGGTTCAGCAGTTGTGGCGCACGGGCTTAGTTGCTCCGCGTCATGTGGGATCTTCCCGGACCAGGGCTCGAACCTGTGTCCCTTGCACTGGCAGGTGGGTTCTTAACCACTGCGCCACCAGGGAAGCCCTGATCATGTAACTATACTTTTAAATTCTACTGCCAAATTGTTAAAATGGAATTATGTTTTTAAAGAGTCTTTATCTTTTCAAAATAGATGAAATATTAATAGATGAAATGATGTCTGGGATTGGCATCAAAATAACTATGGGGGAAGGAGGATGTTGGATTGGCCAGAACTGATAACTTCAACTGAGCATGAGTATATGGGGACTGAGTATTTTTTCAAACCTATACAAAAGTAGATAGAAGTTTTAATCCATAATAAAAAGAAAAAATTTAAATGTAACAAAAAGATTTATTTTCTCTACTTACCATCTAGTAATTCCAGAGTAACTGTAGGATCCACATATTCCCACCAATGTTTTCCATCAGTTGACACGGGAATCTCCCAATTGGACCATTTGCAAGCCAAATGAATGCATACACATGCTATCACTGTTGGTTTATACTGAAGACAGAAGGTTGTAAGATGCAGACTGTTGTGGAGCAGGTTTGGAACGAAGAGTCATAGAAATTCAAATATGTAAAACAAAGAAAAACATTTACCAATAAGATTAGAGCAAAAATAAAATTATAAAGGTTTTCTTTTTCAAGTCTAGAGTATAAAACCTTATTTTATTAAATTAAAAGTTAACATTATAACACTTTTTATGACTATGGTCATAAAAATTTGAACACTAAAAAACCTATATAGATTATGAACATTTTCACACTCTTACTTCCTAGAGTATATTATTAATACTACTAATATATTAATATTTCTATTTTTTTTTTACATCTAAGTTAAAAGTATTTTTACCTCTCTATAAAAGGAGAGGAAGACAGTATATTTCAACTAATTACTACATACAAGTAAAACGCTTTAAACTTTCTTTGGTGGTATTTTTGTTTCTTTTGTAATGTCATGGCAAAAAACTAAAGAAAAAGCAGACGACTATAAAACTGACAAGGTAATTTCAATAACACATCATAATCAGGGATTACCATTTGATGTGGCTTAACAAACATTAATTCTTAAGTAACTCAGACAACTTAAAACCTATCTAGGTAAAACTAACTTCTTCTCAGCAAAGCCACAGAGGAAACTTACCTTTTGCTGAACAGCTTGAAGGCCCAATGTTGTTAAATACTACAAAAATACTACCTCTCTCCTTCCATGACATGCCAAAGACTGGGCATGTAGCATGTCACAGCTAGCCTCTTCTAACCAAAGTTTTAAATTTAAGTGATATTTTTGGCCTTGTTGTTCAGAATTTCTAGGGATAGAGGTTAAATCCCAACAACATATACCTAAGAAAATATATTGGCTTTTGCCAATCCAAAGTTTTAAACAAAACTTAACAGTGTCACAAGAAATTAAGGACCACATAAAGATGGTTTGGTCCACTCCTCCCTAATGACTCACTTTAAAAACAAATTTACATCATTAATATAATCAATCTAGAACAAAATTAATATATTAGATGTGAAAGACTTTCAAAAACTATTCTTCCAGTTCAGTTTCAGAATTGATGAAAATGTCTACTGATCAAGCACAAACCCATACCATTCTTTATATGAACTGAAGAGTAAGTTTTATTTTTTAAAGTAAAAATTATACTTATGCAAATCAAGGCATAGGATGTGACTACTACTAATCTACTACTGGCGGGTATTATCTGGAAAAAAAAAACCAAGTTATATAAATTTTGTTTATTAAAAAAGCTTTAATGATTATTTTAAAGTTAAGATTGGATCAATGTGAAATTTTTTTAAATTGTCATTTAACTATAATTGTAAACTAGAAATAGCTTTATACTTACCAAGTTGCTCGAATTTCTACGTTAAGTTTAGCTCTTTGTAATCTTTAGCTGCTATTCAGGCTACCAATTTTAGACTTATGCACTCACAAATCGAGAATATGTCATCAGAAAGCACCACTACACTTCACATTGTGCATTTAACCCCTCTGTGCCAAAAGTCCCTTGTACAATACACCGCAAAGCAGACAGGAAGGTACCACCACAGTAGATGGTCCAGTCTCCTGCTGCAACAAGGGTAAGAGACACATTGAGGGGGCCCTGCATTAAAGGAAGCTATAGTGTGCTACAACAGTGCAACAAAGAGGGTCAGGATAACAACCTGTTGGTAGCCATGAAATAGGATGTCTGTGCCAAATCCTTGCTTGCTGTAAGAAAAGAAAAAAAAACGAAGACAATACTATCAGCATTAACATGCTACCATCGAAAAGTTCTCAACACAACAAAAACTTCAAAGATTTGTACACAAAAAGTAAATTTTACTTACTACTTACAAATATCACAAGAGCGCCATCATTTTCTATACTACTGAAAATCTTCAACAACATTCACTCAAATGTTTCTTGCTATCCCCCAAAGATCTGAGAAACAAGCCGATTTGCTTTTAGCTAGCCAGTTACAAGGGCTAAACTTGTTACTAAGTTAAGCATCTAGTCAGCTAAAAGTTGCAATAAAGCATTCTCCTGGATTTAAAAAAAAAAAAAAGAAGAAGAAGAAGAAGAAAAGATTTTGAAGTCTAATACAAAATACAAAGAGTTGCCTGCCAGACTTAATCCTCAGTCATCATATTTAAGTTGGTTTAACTACTTCCACCAAAAGAAAAAACAAAAACAAACCCCCAACCCCCAAACTCAGAGAGCACAAACTGCTCAGTTTTTCATCATGCTACTAAGCATCAACAGAGAATAAACAACCTAGAAACATCATAAGGATGTAGATACAGAAAACACCACTGTATTATTTTTAAATTATATAATCCAGTTAACCATAACGTTAGAAAAGATACAAGTACTCTAGAGGGAATCAGGATGCTTCAATACTGGTTCTCAATAGAAAAGCAATTTTTAACAACTAGCTTCTTGAAATACTGAAATGGAAAACAGTGCCCCTCTCCCTTCTTCTGCTTCTTATTCTTCCCAACAGGGATGCCTCTGCTATTAGTCTCCCCCCTTTCCCCAGTTACATTCATAATCACTGACATACCTTTCCTCTCTGCTCACCTAGGATCAGTTCACCTCAGCTCACCCCCTCTAACAGGTCTCAAATTCCTTGCCCTCTCCTATTTTTATTTGTGGCACCTGTAATTCCCCGCTGCCCCATGTGGATCATCAACATAAAGGTTTACAAAAGGGATTTGGGTTTAGCAGAGTTGTGCTAAGGAAGAGTGTCAAAGCATCAGATGTCTTGGAGGCAGTGTGACTTAAGTATGGCATTCTTTCCTGGTGGGGAGGGAAGGAGAAATCACAGAAATGAAAGGTCCCTGTAAAATGACATCAGCCAATCCTGCAGCAAAGTAGCATAATAACTTTCTCATCTCCAGAGGTCGGGGGCAGGGGAGAACTTCAAAGAACTCAAACCTTTTACCCTCACCCCCACCCACGAAAGAATCAAAACATATAGAAAAGTAAGTAAAAGTAAGTTTAAATTGCTATTGCAGTTTTCACCTCAGAACAAATGTAAATTCAATAACCTATTAAAAGTCATTGCAACAGAGAAGAATGTAGGGAAAATGTTCTTTTGTTAGCTGAAAGTGGTTTTAGGGGCAAAGGAAAAAAAATATACCAAACACGAAAGAACATTTTAAAAATGCAGTAAGATGCAAATTATAGTTACTTGAAATGTTAGTCAGACAAAATGATGTTAAACACATATGAGAGTCATACTAAAATTTAAGAATTGGTCACATTTTAAACATTAACAACAACAACAAAAAAATCAGATTTAAATATTTTGCTTTGGATGATATATCAAATTCATAGTTTTTGTAAATGTTTAAATTTTACTGTTCAATTTGGCAAAATAAATGGACTTTAATGTCTCTAGCTTCTCTAGATAGGATTTAAGAGAAGCTGACTCAAATTTCACAATACTAAGCTGAAAATTCAGTTTCATTTCCTAAGAGTGTGTGTGTATGTATATGCACATACACGTACATATTTTTAACCTATATTTAATATCTTCAACATCTGTCTTTACTAATCTCAACTTAAGGCAAATTTTATGGCTCTCCATTATTTAAACAAAACAGCTTACCCTTTCAAGTTTTCAGGAAAACAGAACTTCTCTCAAGCTCTATTTCTTAATCCAGCATCTACAATAGTTATCTATACAATTCTATACTACACTGTAATACTGAGGATGAGAAAGTGCTATAAAATATATAACCATGAAGAACAGAAACCAAAATTAACTATGTTCTAGTTTAGTTTATAAATGATAACATTTGCTTTTAGGATTAAAAAAATATAAATGGGATTTTTATTAGTCCATTTCTTAACAATGACAACTGTGGTACCAGACAACAGGTTTGTCTGTTTTTATATGTAGCCATTAGCATAGTAATAAAACCTTAACCTAGATATAAAGTGAATTCAATTTAGAATGAATAAGAGAACATTTAGGTAAACACTAGATTCAAGGCCTTCAAAAGTCTTACCCATTTTGTTTAGAATAAACCTAAACAAGTCTGGTGGTAAAGGAATGAAACTGCAAAATTTCATTTTCAAAAAGAAGTATCAGAAAAAGGCACACTAAAGGTTCCAAGTGGTTGCTATTAGTGTGTAACACTTCACATGGTAAACAGGAAAGTAGTAGTACTGTATGCATCTGTGTGAAAAATTATTTCTAGAGATACGACGATAGATACACAGGATTCATTAACAAGAGTAGAAAAATATATACCACATGCTTTATAAGGAGTAAAGAAAACAATACAAAAACTCTGTACTCCTGTTTATAAAAGGTTTAATAAGTACATCACATGCTGTTATATATCATGCTATATAATAATTTCCTCATTATACACAAAAAGGAAACCATTTTTAGTAATGCTAAAGAACTTTGAAAAATGTATTAAATCAATTCTGTTCAAACGAACATGGGCAAAACATTTCCCAAAATGACAAATCCGCTAAGAAAGGCAATTTTTACCTGAAAGATTTGAATTCTTAAACCATAAACACTTTTCAGGAAGTCAATCAAAGTTTGACATAAATTGGAAATCAATACTATTTTCTGCACCTATATGTTAAATTTGGCCTACATCTTAAATACTACCTGAATTGGGATGGGCATAGCCCAATGGGGAAGTAGAAAGAGTCCTAGTATTTGGAAGCCCTCTAATTTTTTAGAGAAACAAGACTCTCACCTAAAGTTAAAGGAAGCTAATTCACCAGGAAGAACCAAAAATAGAAGTAGATGAATAGGCAGGTGTAGAACACTGAAAAATAATGCTTCAAAATGACATTTCTGCCATTTTAATAAAACTCAAGGCTAGAACAAAATAGCATTCAATTATCAATTATAGACAATAAAAAGCATTAAAATTTAACTTAAAAGTTTCACTTACCTCTTACTAACTGGGTACATTTCACCACATCTGTGTGTGGGTGTTCAATGGTGATCTCAAAACCTGAAATGAAAAGCACTTTTTTTCCCAGTCATTTACCACTATAATACTTGCCTGAGAAATGCCACTCATAACCATAAACGTATATTTTTCATTATTAAAAAAACTCAAAGACAAAGTTTCTCATCACTGACATGTTTATTATACCCCCAATCATAATAAATAATATCTTCTCAAAAATAGTGTCCCAATTATGAAAACTGACAAAGTTATTTAGAGATAAGTAATATGTATTCAAAATTCTCAATTACAATTAGTTTGAGACTATCCTCAAGTTAAAAACAAACTAAGAAAAAAAAAACTAACTAAAATCATGACAAATACAATTATTAAGCTTGCCCCACAGTTTAAGGAGGGAATTCAACTACGTAACATATTTCTTAAATATATTGCAACTCTTTCAGAAGATGTGAAAAGAACATTTTTCATAAATACAACCTTTGGGCCACAGTGGGAGAAATGACCTTTTAAATATGGTCCTCTTATTTTCTCACTGTACCTTAGATCAGTGGGTTTCAGTTAGCTTATAACTACATTTCATTACTAATAAAAATAAAATTGTTAAGGCAAGTGAACCTTATAGGCCTCAAGATTAAATCACTGTTTCTAAAACCAAAGACAACATATTGAAAAGCTATCATGTCTAGTCAACCCCTTAGGTAGGGCAGGGTTTTTCCGTTTCCTTTTTTTTTTTTGAAGTGGAGGTCGCTGTATGGTGCCTTCAGCAGTAGTAAAGGAATAACATCCTAATAAACAGATTATCTGGATTTATAAAGTTATTGTGTGGTCTCTTCACATTTCTACTGTTATTAAACCTGCAAAATCGCACTTTAACAAGAGCCATATTTATATCTTGTAAATTCTAATGCTCCCCTTAAAATAATGCTATTCATTCTCTGTGTTGAAGAATCTGTCATCAACAATATGAATACAATACACTGATTTCATATGATAAAATAACTATTTTAAAATGTTATTTTCCTTCAACTTTCATTATTTGTAAAATTTCATATTTATATAATAAAATGGTAACATGCTAAATAGATTTGAAGGGAATAAAAATATTCTCACTTTTATTTTTATATATTTATATTATAAAAACTTTCAACAAGTTATATGTGTTTCAAACAACCTACTTTTATAATAAAAAGAATCTGTCATGATGGAAAGCTATGATTATTAGACTTCTATTCAACATTTGGGAATGGAGTATAAATAAGATAAAAATAACTACCATAATAAATAATGGTTATTTATGAAACACTATGTGGCAATGTTTTAAAAAAACAATCTTTCGGGCTTCCGTGGTGGCGCAGTGGTTGAGAGTCCGCCTGCCGATGCAGGGGACATGGGTTTGTGTCCCGGTCTGGGAAGATCCCACATGCCACGGAGCGGCTGGGCCCGTGAGCCACGGCCGCTGAGCCTGCGCGTCCGGAGCCTGTGCTCCGCAACAGGAGAGGCCACAACAGTGAGAGGCCCGCGTACAGCAAAAAAAAAAAAAAAAAAAAAAAACCACAACAATCTTTCATCTTCAAAGTCACAATGTTATAGCTACATTATTATTCCACCTTGCACATACAGGATGGAGGTACGAAAGGTGAAGGAACTCTGACCAAGTTTAGAAAGTAAAGAGGCTTACACATTTAAGCGCAGATCTCCATAAAGCCTATGTTCTTCCCACTACACCCTGCTAGGTTCTTCCAGAAGTAATATATGACTGTACACAGTCAAAACCTGCTTAGGGCTCAATTTCCTCATGAGTAAAGTAAAAGATTAGAATAAACAATTTTTACAGATACTTAAGTTGCACAAACCTTGCAGACAATATAACTTTTAGACAAGGACGATCAACATTTAAATAAACTACTATGTCACATTTAAAATGATGTGATAGGGACTTCTCTGGTGGCACAGCGGATAAGACTCCATGCTCCCAATGCAGGGGGCCTGGGTTCCATCCCTGGTCAGGGAACTAGATCCCACATGCATGCTGCAACTAAGAGTTCGCATGCCACAACTAAGGAGCCCACATGCCACAACTAAGGAGCCTGCCTGCCTCAACTAAGGAGCCCACCTGCCCCAACTAAGACCCAGCGCAACCAAATAAATATTTTAAAAAATACAATAAAATGATGTGATAAATTCATAAGCTCTAGTACAGCAGGACTGCCATGTATGTTTATACATATTACAGTCACACACCACAGCCCTAAAGGACCATTTTATTCCCCAATGCAAATCCAAAATGAAGCACTGTGTCTCAACTATCTGAAAATATAAGAAATCACACTGAAGGCTATGTTTGCCATTCAATTAAATGCTAAACAAAATTAAAATTTAAAAAATGGCTTCCTTAGGACCAGGTAATACTATTCTGGCACCAAACTTTATTTTCAAATGAAACTTTCTTCAATGATAAAATTACTCCAGAAATCTTTCCCTTTATTTAGAATACTGCACTGAAGAACACACACACAAATAATACCTGACATAAGTACATACCTAGGGTTTGTAGCATTATGGTTTCAAGTAAAACCAGTTCTTGAGTCTGCTGAAGGTAAGCCTGCCAGGTAAAAATAATAATATTAAAATGCTTAATAAACATAACACTACTAGACTATGGGGCTGTTAAATCTCATGAGTATTATAGATTCATTACAAACTACTACAAGGTAGTTTGGAAATATGAAGAAAATAAAACTGAGAGTGATAGAGAAAACCTATTTTCTGTGATAATTCTAAATTCAATTACTTCTAATATAGGAAACTCTAAATTCAATTACTTCTAATACAGGAAATGTAAACAAAGCAAAACAAAACAAAACAAAACAAAAACCAATCTAAAAATAATAATATGAAAGGGGTAGGTTAATTGAAAAAAGACATCTCCAGTCTGTAACGTAAAACTTTACCTAGGCATTGGTGCTTCAAGACTCATTAAGGACAGGAAGCGCCAACCCAAGTAAGATTAAATTCGAACTGGCCTTTAAAGAAAAGGATTTATCAACTCACTCTAGGATATTTCATGTAGTAATTCCTTGACTGTCACAGTAGGTCAGTGCGTTATTTTTTAGAATTAAATTCCTCTCTTCAGAAAAGACAAAATAAAACAATCCCTCAAACCCCTAGATTAAAAGAAAAAATTTTAGCTATAAAATACCAAAACAATGTACCATACACCTGTGGGGACAAAAATAGACGATCTTCTCCCTCAACTTCAATAAATCATTGCCCTAATGTAATTACTCGGGGAATAAAAGGTATGAAAACTTTCCTGCCATCTCATTCTTATATCATGACAATTGACTAAGGTGATAAGAAAACTATATTATATATAAATATTCATTTCTAAGGACACATTGCTAAACTTAGAGTGAAAGCACCTTTAATTTTATTTATGCCCATTTTGAGATCACTGAACTGAATTTTAAAACAGATTTTTCTATTATTTGAACAATACCCTAAGCATTCACAAGAAATAATTCTGAATTTGTAAAGTTAATAGAAACTATAAGAAGTAACTTTAAATAATCATACATTCTCTATTATTGAATAGCTACATTAATATTTTAGTCCCTAAAAGCCAACATGTAGGATAAAACCTGTCATTAATAAAATCAGATATATTTAATTTGGACCTTAAACTTGATCCAAATCAAACTGAATTAATACAGTCTGGTAGTCATTCAGTAGTTAACAGTTCCTGATAAAGCAACTCACTTACATAGGAGTGCTAGAAAAAGGATTTCAAAGGCCCAGAATGCTAGCTTCTGTTTTAAGATGTCAGAACATTTAAAAATGGTGTTTTCAGACAAGGTCTATTGAAACATTGGTGATGAACAAGCTGCCTGTAAACCAGCCTGTAAATATTACTCTTTAGGAAAACAAAAATAATTTCAAAATGACACTCATGAAAGCATGGTAAAATAAATCTTTATGTGTCAGAGAATAGTAGTAGCATACACGCATTAATAAAGGAACACTTCTATAAAAAGAGTAATTACTGGTCTAGAGATAAATCCAGAGGTTTTTCTATTCCCTCACTTGCCGACAATTTAAGAGAATTATATATCTCTGGTCTTAAATACACCCAAACGATGAAGGTGATATGATATACCCTCTACATATATCACAGGTTTGCTGTGAGGATAAACAAAATGTGAAACACTTAAAAAGTACCTTTGACTCAAAGCTTTACGTGATGCAGAATGACAATGAAATTCATGAACATAACATGAAATATGGTTCTGTCAGATCACTTCCTGGTATTACATTCCTAAGTCGTAATAGTAATAAGCAGCATTGGAAGGCAACACTAATCGAATTGTATTTTTATTAAATCTAAGTAATGAAAAGGTTTCAAAACCCAAAACATCCAATTTTTACATACATCACATTTAGTATCCAGCAGTGGCTCTAGGGGATGAAGACAAGCATGTGCTACTTTGATAACATGTTCAAGTTTTCGAGCCTGTTCTTCTACTTTTGCAGCCAAAAATAATGCAGTAGGTGATATTATCTGTGGAAAAGATAATATTTGGTGATTTAAAAACAAATAAATTTTGGAAACACCTTCTACTTTCTAAGGGAGGGGGCATGCAAAAAAGGAATGCCATATTAATAGTAAGAACTGAAGTTGGGCTATGACGAGATTAAATTTTTTAAAAGTTATTCATTAGATAGAACTAGTTACCTCAGTCTATAAAATCTGTTTTACTTGTTTTGCAAGTAGAATTCTAAAAGGAAAAAGACTTACACTTTAGCTAAAAGAGAGTTTAAATAATATTAACGCACATTGTGGAGGTAAAGGAAAAAACTCAAGCAAAATAATGAAGCCAAAGCTTTAAAAAAAAAAAAAAGAAAGAAAGAAAAAAGAAGAAAAAGAAAAGTGGGTAAAGTATACC